GGCTTCCCCGGTGAACTTGGGCAGACTACAGTCCCAGCTCAGCCTAGCCGTGGCTGGGGGACAGAGCATCTGCTCGGCCTGCAGAAGGTCCTGGCTTCGATTCCTGGCATCTCCCATTGTTTAAAAAAAAGTTGCAGGTCTTTGGAAAGACTTCTTTCTCCTGAGCTTGCTGGAGAGTCACTGCAGGTTCAGAACACCACTGATGGATCAAAGTCTGATCCTGAGGCATCTTCTCCTTTGTTGGTTTTGGAATATTTCTGGCCTGCCTGCTTTCATGTCTGTGTACACAGCCCTGAGTATTATGTACAGCAGAGTCATAGAACACTAAAACAAATATGAATGCATCATCCGACTGAACAAGTCTGAAAGCATCTTCAACATAAATCTAAGGTACTCCTGTTCCAGCCAATATACACACTGCTGGGAACAGGGGAACAGTAAAAGCTTTGTAAAGCACAGGTTTTTTTACTGATTTATAGAGGGCCTGTGGTAGGGTTACCAACCTCCAGATGGTGGCTGGAGATCTTCTGTTATTACAGCTGATCTCCAGGCGACAGCAATCAGTTCACCTGGTGAACAGGGCTATTTTTGGGCAGGAACGCACAGGAACGGAGTTCCGGCTGGCTCCCGAGCTGGCCACGCCCAGCAGGAACTCATTAGCATAATAGGCCACACCCAACAGCAGGAACTCATTCGGACTGGCTACATCAGGGGTGTGTGGCCTAACATGCAAAGGAGTTCCTGCTACAAAAAACGCCCTGGGTTTTGACAACAAACAAGGTAAACAGAATAAGAAGCGAAAGGTGGGTGTGGCTGGATGACCACACTTCTAGTAACATGGGGGTGTGGCCTAAAGTGCTAATGAGCTGTGCTGTCAGGGGTGTGGCCTAATATGCTAATGAGTTTCTGCTGTTGGGTGTGGCCTGTTATGTTAATGAGTTCCTGCTGGGCTTTTTCTACAAAAAGAGCCCTGCCAGTGGTGAAGATGGCCACTTTGGAATGTAGACTCTATAGCATTATATCTGTTGGAATATTTGCAAGTTGTCAACACTTTGGCCACGATAGAGTCAAACTGATGTTGTGTGTAAACAGGATGTGACCTAGCTAAGTTGTAGCCACTTAGAAGTAGAGAAAGTTTCCTGGGTTAGAGTGGGTGGTATTTAGTGACAGAATTGATCTTTAGTCTTGTCATTGGCTGATTAATATATTGGTTTGAAGATGTGCTTTTGGTCACCTGCGCATGTGTTTGATGTTTTATGGCAGCATTTCCTGCCTTTGTTCTGAGAGTTGTGAGCAGAGACGGACTTGCCGTCTCTCGTCCTTGGCCATGTGACTGTTAAGATGTGGCCCCTGGGGTCATGAAGAGTCGGACTCGACTGTGCGACTGAACAACAACAAGAACTAGAAAGCTAGAATGCATTTTCTTATTTATCACCAACTGGATACCCCCCTCCCTTTTCTAGATAAAGGTTACTTTTACTTTAAAGCTCAAACACACATAGCTGTGGCTCTCCTTTATTTACCTTGCTCAGTTAACACAACAATATCCCAGTGAAGTCCCTCCCCACCCCAAACCTCACCTTCCTCAGGCTCCACCTCCCAAGTCTCCAGGTATTTCTCTCTAGCCCCTCTAGCCAGTCTGGAGTAGTGGTTAAGTGTGCGGCCTCTAATCTGGGAGAACCGGGTTTGATCCCCCACTCCTCCACTTGCACCTGCTGGATGACCTTGGGCAAGCCGTAGTTCTGATAAGCTGTCTTGGAAAAAGAGCCGTTTCTGTCGGCGCTCTCTCAGCCCCGCCTACCTCACAGGGTGCGACTCCGAGTGAAGGGTGGGGTATAAATCCAATCTCTTCTTCTTCTTCTTCTTCTTTTGCCTTCTGTTTACAGAGCGGCAGCCTTCCCTTCCCTGGTGGCTCAAGTCGCTTCCCTCCTCCAGGTTCCCCCTTCAAACCCACTTTGTCACCCCAGCCGTTCTTGAAGTGTCCAGTGCCACGGCCTGACATTTTGGTCCCCAGCCTTCACTACGGACGACTAGGACCATATTTAAGATCAATGACAAAAAGTCGTTAAAGAAATCATAATGGACTTTGGGATGTGGAAGGGTATAGTACAGCCTGATCTTGTCAGATATTGGAAGCGAAAACGGGTCAGTACTTGGCTGTAGAAAAGAGCAAGAGTCCAGGAACACCGTAAAGACTAGCAAAATTTGTGGCAGGGTAGGGGGCTTTCGTGAGCCACGGCTCACGTCTTCAGAGAGGGATTGTAGTGGATTTTTTTTATTCTCAGTCCCTTTGGTATAATGTTAAGTCTTCTGCATTTGGTGAGAAAGATGATGTCTGTTTGTACTTATGCCGGCAAAATGCAGCCCGGCAGCAGCTTGTGTGAAATTGACACGTACCATCGGGGGCAAAAGGGAAGAGCGAGGGTGAAGCAGCGCTTGTGGGAAATCCGTGCAAGAGTCTGGTGGCACCTTAGGTGACGAACAAAATTTGTGGCAGGGAATGAGCTTTCGTGAGTCACTGCTTCAGATACTTCATTACTTGGCTGGAAGACCACCAGGGAAGACTGCAGAGGAAGGCTATGGCAAACCTCCTCTGCTTAATCACTTGCCTTGAAACCCTCAACGGGGTCACCGTAGTCTGTGATTTGATAACACTTTACACACACAATTTTTTTAAAAGGCAAATGCAGGGACAGTGTTTTATTGGGGACGGGTAGTAATGGGTGAGCACCTCTGTGCTCGGCCTGAAATGACTCTTCATTTTGCCAGGCATCCTTGTCAAACGCTCAAAAATTCAGGTGTGTGTGAGTCTTCCGGGTGTTCACAGATTTTTGCCGCAGATAATTGCTGCTTCCTTGTCCCTTCCCTGAAGGGAAACATGCCCCACTATTGTGTAGTAAGTCAAACAGCCTGTAGCTTAGCGGCCTCTTCTAAATTCGCCTTTCGTCTCTAAAACTGACGCCTCTCCTGGTGCTCTACTTTGGCTGAAATCTGTGGCTCTCCAGAGAAACGTCTTAGTGGGAAAATACAAAATAAATTCCCCTTGCCGTGAGCTGGCTTTCGCTGCGACGTAACTCTGCATGATCTGCGGTTGTTTTCCTCAGGCCAAATCCGGATGATCTTTCTTTTTTTACCCCCCCCCCTCATGATGATATTAGTACGCGGGTCAGAAGTGGCCGCGGGGAGGAGCGAGGCTTGGTAAATCATTAAGGAGTAACAGCCGGATGCAAAGGGGTTTGGCCACCAAGCCGGCCTGTTCAGACTGGATTTGTGTCTCCCTCTTGGAGGCTCTTTAACAAACATGTTTTGCTTCAGCCGCAGGACAAGGAAACAATTTTTAAAAAAATTATTGGACATGTGTATCCTGCCCTCCCCGCAAGCAGGCTCCAGGCGGGTCCCATCAATATTAATATAGTTTACAGTAACAATTTAAACCAGTTTAAAACAACAAATTAAAACAGTACAGAAGTCATAAAATACCGTGCAAGATCTAATCGGATGTCTCAGCAGTTAAGATGGGACGGGAGTGTGGGATTCCCAGGTGGCTGTTTGAATCCAGGACACCGATGGGAGGCCAACCAGAAGGGGGGGGGGGAGCCTGGCGGAAGAGCTCCGTCTTGCAGGCCCTGCGAAATTGTAGTAAAAAACAACAACAATGCTCGAGGCTGAAACTGGGGGCCATGAAGGGACAACCGGAAATGTTGAGCACTGCCTGAAAAACTTGCTCACATTCCTTCCTGAGTAAATAATAACAATCATGTTAACTGGAGAGGGTTCCAAAGGGAACCACTGTTTTGATTTGCAAGTCCCCGTTTCAGACATGGAGCTTTCCCCCTGCTCTGGATGTAACTGCATTTGGGGAGGGGCTACGGCTCCGTGGCAGAACATCTGCTTGGCGTGCAGAAGGTCCCAGGTCCGGTCCCTGGCATCTCCACTTAAAAGGATCAGGTTATAGGCGGTGTGAAAGACTTCTGCCTGAGACCGGGAGAGCCGCTTGCTGGTCTCAGTAGACTGTGTGCAGGTAGAGCCAATGTGGCGTAGTAGTTAAGGGTGCTGGACTAGTTTCTGGGAGATCCAGGTTCAAATCCCCACCAGTGCCATGGAAGCTCGCTGGGTGACCTTGGGCCAGTCACACTCTCAGAAGAACCTGCTTCGCAGGGTTGTTGTGCAGATAAAATGGAGGAGATGAGAATGATGTCAGCCATTTTGGGTCCCCATTGGAGAGAAAGGCAAGGGTACACATGAATTAAATAAAGTAAATAAATAAATAGGCAGTACTGACATTGACGGACCACTGGTCTGATTCGGCATAGGACTGCTTCATCTGTGTGTTTGTCTTTTAAACAAATTTGATAGCGCTGTTGCTATTAAAATGACATGAGCATAGCGTAATAACAATACGCGCGCATTATTACCAAACGCATGCGCATGAAGCCGCCTTTTGTTAAGTCCGATCCCGTGGTCTGCCAAGGTGGATCTCATCTCCTGAGACTGGCAGCGGCTCTCCAGAGTCTCAGGGGGAGGTCTTTCACATCACGGACAACCAGATCCTTTTAGCTGGCGATGCCGGGGATTGAACCTGGGACCCTTCTGCATGCTGAGCAGATGCTGTTCCGCTGAGCCATCCGTGGTCCCTCGCCCCAAACAGAGGAATCAGGATCAGCAGTGACAATGGGCAAAATGAAGACAAGGATGAGGCCGTGCTCACGGCATCCCTGCTAAACGGAGGGAGAGTTTCCAGACAACTCTGCCTGCACACAAAAGCAGAATCAAACTCTGTTGGTCTTCAAGGTCCCACTCGATTCAAACCTGGTTCTGCTGCATCAGACCAACATGGCTGCCTCACCTGAATCCAAGCGAGAGGATGGGAGATCTTACTGGGATCTGGAGTCGGACATGGGGGGAGGCTGGGAGCCACATCTGGATTTCTGACCGAGGTGTCCATGTACACATTGACGAAATATCTCTCTCTCTCTCTCTCTCTCTCTGGCTTTTGACAGAGAACCTTTGGGCGCAAGCGGATGCACCGGCATGGAGGCTCTTTCAAGGATGGTGAGTGCGGAGTAGGCAAGGCTACTGTTTTGAGGATTGGTTGATTTGATCTTCTTGCAGTCAAACTCTGTTGTTCTTCAAGGTCCCACTGGACTCAAACTTGGTTCTGCTGCATCAGACCAACATGGCTGGCCCACCTGAATGGGAGATCTTACTGGGATCTGGAGTCGGGCAGGGGAGGAGGCTGGGAGCCACATCTGGGTTTCTGACTGAGGTGTCCATGTACACATTGACGAAATCTCTCTCTCTCTCTGGCTTTTGACAGAGAACCTTTGGGCGCAAGCGGATGCACCGGCATGGAGGCTCTTTCAAGGATGGTGAGTGTGGAGTAGGCAAGGCTACTGGATTCCAGGGAATGCCCAAGCTGTTTCTGGGAGAAGAGGGGAGACGGAGCTCGGGCGGTGTCGTGGTTAGAGAGTCGTCCTAGGGCAGGAGCAACCCAGGTTCCAATCCCCGCTTGACGAACAAAGCTCACGGGGAGGTCTTCAGCCTGTCCTCCTTTCTTGCTCAGCCCAGACTATCCCATGGAGTCGCTGGGAGTCTGAAACAGAGGAGGAAACTGTGTACGCGCACTCTCCAGAGCTCCTCGAAGGAAGGGTGGAATAATAATGTGCTGTGTGGTAGCTCGGTTCGCAGTATAAATGTGTCAAGTCCGTAAGAGTCAGCTGTTGCAAAGGAGAGCATCAGTTCCCTGAATTTGTCCTCCAGCAAGATTTGGGAAGAAAGCAAGATTCTGCGCTTTGGGTGGCACGGGCAGTGTTCAGGCCAACCAAAGCGGCTCTGCCAGCGCATCACCCCAAATGTACATGTGCAGAACAGTGTTCCCTCTAAGCCAAGTTTGTGTGAGCTAGCTCACAGTTTTTTTAGCCTCCAGCTCAGGCATTTTTGTCTTTGGAAGGACGGCTCCAGAGCTAACTAATTTATACAGTAGCCCAATCAATCGCTCACAACCGTAATGCCAGTAGCTCACAAAGTAGAATTTTTGCTCACCGGACTCCGCAGCTTAGAGGGAGCGTTGGCTGCAGAAGTATGTTCGGTGAGATGCACGCTTGCGTTGAACAGCTAAGCAAACCTCACACAAATGCAAAGTGCGTCTGTGCTTCAAAGCTGTTGATATGGAGACCATCTACTTTCCAGATGTTTGATCTTTTTGTTGCCGGGGGGGCTCTGCACATGTTCAGAGGCTCTCAACCGGGGAAGGGCGTCAGAATGTCTGAACGCAAGGGCTCTTCTGAAGCTCCAGTGCTGCGAACGACGATTCTTGCCCTGGAATGGCTCTCCTGTGCCCAGGGCAGGTTTTGACCGGGCAGTGCCGAGGACTGAGATAGCCAGGAGGGCCCATTGAGCCTTATTGACATTGGCTTCTGCTTGCGTGCACTCTCTCTGGGTACGTCACATCACAAGGGCTTTCTGTGCCGCTCTGGCATTTCCCGTGTCAAGGGGTACGCAGGGAAACGTGGTTCTTCTGGGCCCCACTTAAAGGAACACGGTGGAGCTGCGATCTGAGGAGAGAGGCTGCGGCCAGTTAACTAGCTCTCTTCTCCCCCCACCCCGCCCCAACCGGGAGCCAGCCCTGCCTGTAACCCACTTAATTTATCAGCTGCGGCTACTACTGTTTATTGTATTTGGTCAAAGGCAGTTTCCCAGCAATGAATTACTAATACCAAATATACCTCTGGAGTTATAACATTGGGTTGGGCACACAGACCGTCTATAAATACTATTTTTCAGCAGCAGAGCCAGCTAAAATCACAGTGTTTGAAACATGATCTGTATCAACAGAATAGCCTGCAGAGCTTGTAAAGGCAAGAGACAGTGAGAAACCATTGTCTCTGGTTCTTTGTAGTAGGGGAGTTCCCCACCTCCCAAATGCTGAATTCAAAACCTTCTTGGAAAGATTTCTATACAAACTGAGAGGTTTTACAGTGGAGCACGTGTTTTTCAGAAATGTGTTTCAGAAATGCATGGACGGCTTCAAAAGGGAATTAGATAAGCATATGGAGCAGAGGTCCATCAGTGGCTATTAGCCACAAGGTATAGATAGGGGCTCTGGGGCAAGTGATGCTCTGTCATCTTGGTGCTTGGGGGGGTCAACAGTGGGAGGGCTTCTAATGTCCTGGCCCCACTGGTGGACCTCCTGATGGCCCCTGGTATTTTTGGCCACTGTGTGACAGAGTGTTGGACTGCATGGGCCTTTGGCCTGATCCAACATTGGCGTCTCTTATGTTCTTATGTTTGAATCGAGAAGCTTTCAGTTCCAATTAGATCAGAGGTAGCCCTTTCTTCTTGTGTCTCGTAAACAAGAAGTAAACGTACTGTGTGTGTGAGAGAGAGAAAGTCAGGGATTTTCTCATATCTGCTGCCTGGGGATAGACTCCTGGCTCCCCAGTTAAACGCCTGTTACATTCACGGTGCTAATTTGATGGGCCGATAAAATGTCTGCTTGTGCAAAAATGTCGCAGAAGCATTTCCACCCCTCGATGCTGCTTATTTGGGGGAATGGCATTTAACCAGCGATAAATGAACTGCCCACAGAAGGGTTCTTCAGAACTCTGGGGCCACAATCCAAAAGGCCCCGCTTCTGGTGGACACCAAGTGTGGCCTTCAGATAAGCTGAAACTCGGTCTCAGTTTGTTCGTTAGTTTTGTGCGTCTCCAGTCTGTCTTTCTCCTACCATGGAACTCGAGGGTTCCCAGGAATTCCCCAATCCAAGTGTCGCTTCAGCAGGGTAGCTGCATCGTGTATTGTGGGGTGGGTCTTGGCTGAGCCAGTTTGGTGTAGTGGTTAAGTGCGTGGACTCTGATCTGGGAGACCCGGGTTTGATTCCCCTCTCCTCCACTTGCACCTGGCTGGATGACCTTGGGCAAGCCATAGTTCTGTCAGAGCTGTTCTTTAAAAAAAGAGCTGTTCCTGTCAGAGCTCTCTCAGCCCCACCTGCCTCACAGGGTGTCTGTTGTGGGGAGGGGAAGGGAAAGGAGTTTGGAAGCCGCTCTGAGACTCCTTCGGGTAGTGAAGGGCGGGGTATAAATCCAGTCTCTTCTCCTTCTGATCTGAGACTTCAGGGAAGGGGCATGGGAGACCCCAGGAAGTAGTGGGGGAGGGGCTTCTCAGCAACTCCATACAGCCCCGTAGCTGGGGAATTTTGGGGGGAGGGGGCAGCTAATGAAATCAAAGCCCAGTGCAGGCAGCAAGTTGCACTTTGGGGTTAGCCCAGGACGGAGGGGGCCCAGAAGAAACACTAGGGGGCCAGGCCCCGCGGGCCCCACGTCAGCTATAGGCCAGCCTCCACATCTGTCCTGGCTTCTCTTCCAGACCCCCGCCTGTATCAAGAGATCCGAGAGAGAGGCTTGAACTCCACCTGTCACGAGTCGGATGACGACCTGCTGGAGGTGGACACCATCCCCGAGGAGTCCCCCGCCGCAGACTCCGTCATCATGGTGAAGAACTACCGGCCTGCCCACCTCACCTGGAGCCAACTCCCCGAGGTAGGGAGGAGAGGTCACCGCCTTTCCGGAAAGGGATCTTCCAATTAATATTTTTTCCCCTTGCGCCATGCCATGAGTTGCTGGTGAGCCTTCTGTAGGATATACCTATGAAACGGCTCTTTGCTAAGTCGGGCCACTGTCCGTTCTAACTGTGCCCATAAGCCAACGAAGCTGAATCAGACCATCAGTCCCTCAAGGTCAGTATTGTCTACTCTGACTGGCAGCCGCTTTCCAGGGTCTCAGGCTGGGGTCTTTCACAACACCTACTGCCTGGTCCTTTCACCTGGAGATGCCAGGGATTGAACCTGGGACCTTCTGCATGCCAAGCAGATGCTCCACCACTGAGCCTCACACACACCCTGCCATTGTCTACTCTGGCTGGCAGGAGCTCTCCAGGGTCTTGGGCAGAGAAATCTCTCTCCCAAAAGCTGCTTCCGGAGTTCTTTTAATTGAAGATGCCAGGGACCGAACTAGCATTCAAAGTGTACCACTTGCCACCGAGTATTAGGCCTTGGCGTCTAGTCACGCCGGCCACACGACCGCGGAGAAGTCTTCGGACAGCGCTGGCTCTTTGGCTTGGAAACGGAGATGAGCACGGCCACCTGGAGTCGGATTCGGCTGGCTTTCAAGCAAGGGAAACCTTTACCTTCATCAGGCATTGCAGTCAGGCTGGCCGCTCGCTAGACTAAGCCCGGCAGCGGTTGAAGGGTTCAAGCCCTCCCACCTCCCTGCAAGGCCTGGGGCAAATTGAGGCCTTGGATGCCTGCAGTTTGCATTTGAATTTGGTGCATTTGCATTTGCATTTCGAGAGGAGCAGACCTATTACAGGAAAAGCCGCTTTGGACTAGTATTCACTCCCGTTTTAAGCTGACTGCATTTGTGAGCCTTGGGGCAAGTCTGCTTCCTCACTGTTTGGATCAGTAGTCACCCTTTGCTCTCCCTCCACGCCCTTCCTTGCCTGTGAGGTTCAGCGATTGACACAGTTGCTGGGAATCCCCTGCAGTGGCCACACACATTTGAGGAAGTCGTGGGGAAGAGTTTGGCCCAAAGGAGCCATTCCCTCTGGGGCCACCCTGCCGCCCTGTGGCTGCTATTCCACCCTCCTTTCTCTTCCTGATGACATTCTTTGAAATGCCCTCCTTGGATGACGATGACGACATGGTGGAAGGATGATGACAATACTAATGCTGATATGGAGCGGCTCCACCTTACAGTAAGACTGCCTGAGCAGGCTCCTTCTGGAGCTTTGGCGAAATCCGCCTTTGCATCTGTGTTTGCTTTGGCCTGCAGAGTGCAGGTGAGATGACAGCTGATTTGGAAATCCCCCCACAGCCTGCAGTTCAGCGTCTTAACCACTTGAGCCACCGCAGCTCCTTAACAATGCCTTTAGCAGTGTCTTTTACCTTCCTCCGGGCATACAGCCGGAGCCACTGGGGGAGTGTGGGGTGGAGGTAGTTGTGAATTTCCGGCATTGTGCAGGGGGTTGGACTAGATGACCCTGGAGGTCCCTTCCAACTCTGTGATTCTATGATCTGGTTTCTGAATGACCCCCCAGATACCCCTAGGAGCAGGCTACGGAGGTCAGTTCCTCCTCTGGTCATTACACCCAGGAAATGGTATTTAGAGGTCCCCCTGCCTTTTGACATCTGGTGGCAGTGAGTTTCACAAGCTAATGGTGCACTGTGTGAAGAAATGTCTCCTGAAGCTACCGCCCATCCAAGCCACTTTGGTGCAGTGGTTAAGTGCACGAACTCTAATCTGGGAGAGCCGGGTTTGATTCCCCACTCCTCCACTTGCACCTGGCTGGATGACCTTGGACAAGCCATAGTTCTGGCACAGCTGTTCTTGAAAAAGAGCAGTTTCTGTAAGAGCTCTCTCAGCCCCACGTATCTCACAGGGAGTCTGTTGTGGGGATGGGAAGGGAAAGGAGTTTGTAAGCCGCTCTGAGACTCCTTCAGGTAGTAAAGGGCGGGGTATAAATCCAATCTCTTCTTCTTCTTCTTCTTCATGGCATGCCCCTGAGTTCTGAGAGAGGGAGAGTTTAAAAAAACTTACTCCACATAGTGCATTAATTATAAAAGGTGTCACCCCTCTCCCTGGTCATCTTTTCCCCTTAAGACACAGCCCCCTCCCCCAGGAGGCTCAGAGCAAGGTGGTGTGTGAGACTGGAGGTGTGGGCCTTCCTCACTCACTCAAGGTTGCCTTTGGCAGGTGCAGGAAGCGGGCATCTTGGAGCTGATCTCCCCTGAAGAGCGCAAGAGACAAGAGGTGAGTGACGCCCCAGGGTGAGAAAGAGTGCTAGAAGGAATCAGTGCCTGTGGATTCTGGGAAATTGAGAAAGAGGCGCACTGAGAAGTGCCTTTCCCCGGCTTAGCAGTTCTCCCAAAGAAGTAACAGTGCTTTCCCCCTTCCCACTAAGAAACTGCCCTGCGTTGCTCATCCTTAGAACTTCCAGGGCCTCATAGCAAGTCCATTGCTCCGGAACTTTCCTCTCTCCCAAATTCTGTGACCCATTATCCTGTGATGGCACGGCTTGGATCAGGGACCTTTTGCGTGCAGAGTGTGAGCTCTTTGGTTGAGCCGTGTCCCCTCGATTCACCACTGAATGACGTGGTTTATCATAGCGACCACTGTTGTGTGCCACTAACCAATGTGGTGTGCACAGATGATCTCCATTCTAACCCTCTTCATAAAATTCATTGAACAGGTGAGATGGGATTTGGCTACTCTCTGTTCTCCTCTATTTCTGGCCGTGTGCATGCAAACGTGGACGCACCGTGTGTTGGGAACATTCCTGATGACACCGTCTGAGTGTCAGGCCTTGAACAGGACTCTCTCTCAACAACACTCTCTTGGCAGTGATTTGTTTATTGAGAGACAAAGAGGTTTCAAGCATGGACTTCACCGTGTCAGAACTGGCTCTCCTGGCACCAGTTCTCATATTATACATGATTCAAAGATTTCCCCCCCCCCAAATTGTCAATCCAATCACACCCAGACTTTACTGTGTCAGAACTGACTCTCTTGGTGCCAGTTCTCATATTATACATGATTCAAAGATCCCCCCCAATCGTCAATCCAATCACACCCAGTCATTCAGCCTGCCAAAATCTACAGTGCCTCTTTCAGCCCTCCTCCAACACCTGCAAACTAACTGGCACATTATTTAGCAGTGTCTGGTACCCAAGGTCAGGCAAGCATACTTCCCACAATAGGGAGGCCCCGCATAAATGCAGTTGCAAGCCTGTGCTATGCCTAGCAAGGTGGCTCCATGAGCTCACTCACCCACTTCCCCCCCCCCCAATTCCCAGCCAAACATGAATTAGGGCATTGAGTTACAGAGACTGAAGCAGACAGAGGAAAATACATGGCTGTGTGTGTGGTGCTCTCTGCAGACATACAACGGCATGTGTGGCAGTCCAGAGCAATGCTCCCTCTAAGCTGTGGAGTCTTGTGAGCAAAAATTCTACTCTGTGAGCGAGCGATTTGGCTGCTGAATCAATTAGTTTGCTTTGGAGCCCTCCTTCCTGAGCTAAAACAAAAATCTGTGAGCCGGAAGCTAAAAAACTGTGAGCTAGCTCACACTCAGCTTAGAGGGAAGACTGGTCCAGAGTGGGATCAGTATTTGTGATGTTGCTTCCCCTTCCTTGCCCTGCCACACTTATTGTTCCTTCGTTCCTTCCTTCCTTCCTTCCTTCCTTCCTTCCTTCCTTCCTTCCTTCCTTCCTTCCTTCCTTCCTTCCTTCCTTCCATCCATCTCTCCCCATCTATTTGCTTTCCTTCCACTTCTCTCCTTCTTCATTCCTTCCTTCCTTCCTCTCTACCCATCCATTTGCTTGCTTGCTTTTCGTATTTTTTTAAAAAATGTACGCTCACTCACAATTTTAATCCTGTCAGGTCTTTTGACTCACAGAGTAGAATTTTGGCTTGTGAGACTCTGCAGCTTAGAGGGAACATTGGGTCCAACAGTGCCTGCAGAAGCAAGGGGGATAACCTTCCTCCCTCTGTGGGTGCCAGAGCAACAGCTGCTGGCCTGAAAATAACATACACATCTTACCAGTACTGTCTCTTCCAGGGGTTTCAAAGCAAAAGATGGGTGGGTACCTGGCCACTTTCTCACCAGAAATTTCACCCTGATCCGCAGCCATTGGTTTTGCATCCACTAGCATGCCAGACAAATTTATCTGAAACAGAGGCACTCTGTTGCAAAAGGCACTACAGTCTGGCAAACGGTCCGGATACCAGAGGGACCTTCTAGAATGCCTGCCTTTTAAGCTTATCTTTCCAGCAAAGAGAAGCTCCTTTCCCTGTCCAATTGCACTTAAAGGACTAGAACACAATCAAGCAGTACTTTTCCATTTAGAGGCACCTGCTCCTCACATATTCTTCTGGAATGTTAACAGGACCCTGTTCAGTCATGCTTACACTGGCCACTTCTGTTTGTGCCTTCAGGTGACTGGGGCCTTGCTGACGCCTTTCCGTCCCATTGCCATGGAAACAGCAGCTATTGAATTAATGTGTTGGAGAGTCAGGCAGGCTCGCTGTAGTGGTGCGTGACCATCTGTAGTGTGATGATTTATTCTGCACAGAGCCACGATCCGCTTTATCCCAGGGGTATTGAGGGGGTGCGTTACCTTACAAGCTTCTGTCTTCAACTCTTCCTTTCCCCTGGCAGGTGGCATGATTAGCTTTGATGTCTTCCCAGAGGGCTGGGATAAGCGCTATTGCCTCGATATCCTTGACGAGGAAAGATTTGATATCATACATTTCTTTGGGAACGAGACAACTCCTGTAAGTATCCTGTATCCAGCTCTGCTCTTTGACAAAAGACCAGGCACTATATGGGACTGAGAAGGATGACAAGTGTTGTGTTCCGTCCTTTCCTCTCTTTTATTTTCTTTTTTAGTTTTTTCCCCTTCCTTCCTTCCTTCCTTCCTTCCTTCCTTCCTTCCTTCCTTCCTTCCTTCCATGAGAAATTCGTCTCTCTCTCTCTCTCTCTCTTTCTTTCTCTCTTCCTTTCAACGCAGGCCATGTTTGAGATCATCACGTCCGAGTATACCTACATGCGCAGCCTGGACATTCTGGTGACCCAGTTCCTGAAGTCCGAGGAGCTCAAGGAGACGATGACGCAGACGGAGCACCACCACCTCTTCTCCAACGTTGGGGACATCCTGGCCGCCAGCAAGAGGTAAGGGGCAAGGGGTAGAAGACCTCACGCGGGGCATTCTTGGATGTCAGTGTGGGTGGGCCCACGTTGTACGGCTTTAGTCAAGCGAAGGGTCCTCAACCGTTTTGCACCGGTGGGCGCATCTGGAATTCTGACATAGCATGGTGGGCAGAGCCACAGAACGACTGCTACGCCATGGCTGATGCATACCATGGAGCCAGGCCTGAAGCTATGGTTGGGCTTTGGGGATCCTGCCCCCTTTCTTAAAGCACAGCCCCACAAGAATTTCTCCTGTAGTTGTTTTTTTCAATCCTTTTTTAAAAAAAATAATTAAAGGCATGCGCTCCTTTAAGCACAGTGGGGTCTCTCCCTCCCAGTCACAACCATCCATCCCCTACGTCTGTTTTAACTTCTGTCACATGGTGAAGATCCTCGTGCTGTAGGTGGTAGCTGCTGCTGAAGCAGTATTTTTTTAAAATCTACCCAGCCAATCCAGTCTCCAGTGGTCCACCCAGAAGCCTTGCCGGGCAAAAGACCCTAAGCATACTTCCCACAATAGGGAGGCCCCGCATAAATGCAGTTGCAAGCCTGTGCTATGCCTAGCAAGGTGGCTCCATGAGCTCACTCACACACTACCCCCCCCCCCAATTCCCAGCCGAACATGAATTAGGGCATTGAGTTACAGAGACTGAAGCAGACAGAGGAAAATACATGGCTGTGTGTGTGGTGCTCTCTGCAGACATACAACGGCATGTGTGGCAGTCCAGAGCAATGCTCCCTCTAAGCTGTGGAGTCTTGTGAGCAAAAATTCTACTCTGTGAGCGAGCGATTTGGCTGCTGAATCAATTAGTTTGCTTTGGAGCCCTCCTTCCTGAGCTAAAACAAAAATCTGTGAGCCGGAAGCTAAAAAACTGTGAGCTAGCTCACACTCAGCTTAGAGGGAAGACTGGTCCAGAGTGGGATCAGCATTTGTGATGTTGCTTCCCCTTTTTTCCTTCGTTCCTTCCTTCCCTCCTTCCTTCCTTCCTTCCTTTCTTCCTTCCTTCCTTCCTTCCTTCCTTCCTTCCTTCCTTCCATCCATCTATCCATCCATCCATGAGAAATTCGTTTCCCTCCCCCCCCTCTCTCTCTCTCTGTGTCTCTCTTTCTCTCTTTCTCTCTTTCTTTCTTTCTTTCTTCCTTCCTTCCTTCCTTCCTTCCTTCCTTCCTTCCTTCCTTCCTTCCTTCGCAGGCCATGTTTGAGATCATCACGTCCGAGTATACCTACATGCGCAGCCTGGACATTCTGGTGACCCAGTTCCTGAAGTCCGAGGAGCTCAAGGAGACGATGACGCAGACGGAGCACCACCACCTCTTCTCCAACGTTGGGGACATCCTGGCCGCCAGCAAGAGGTAAGGGGCAAGGGGTAGAAGACCTCACGCGGGGCATTCTTGGATGTCAGTGTGTGGGGGCCCACGTTGTACGGCTTTAGTCAAGCGAAGGGTCCTCAACCGTTTTGCCCCAGTGGGTGCATCTGGAATTCTGACATGGCATGGTGGGCAGAGCCACAGAACAGCTGCTACACAATGGCTGATGTATACCATGGAGCCAGGCCCAAAGCTACGGTGGGGCTTTTGTGGATTCTGCCCCCTTTCTTAAAGCACAGCCCCACAAGAATTTCTCCTGTAGCATGGTCACCTTTAAGCACAATGGGGTCCTTTAAGCACAATGGGGTCTCTCCCTCCCAGTCACAACCCATCCCTCCCCTATGGCTCCAGTCACACGGGCTGGAAAATGCGGGGGGGAAGTGTGGCTGTTTGCCCTGGAGCAAAATAACCCACGGCTGCAAGATCAGACGTCCCCTCGAGGTCCCGTGTTTAGGGGGGAGGTGCCGATCAAACAGCAATCCAGCAGCGCGGCGACGAAGCGGTGCGGCGCGGCAAACGGGGTTGTGTTTTTGTTTTTAAACTGAAGTGTGCGCATGTGCCGTTGGGTGTGTGTGCGCATCCCGTGGAGACTTGAAAAAAAACACCCTTTTTGCAAGGGGACATGGGCGGGCACCGGATGCCACCGGAAACGCGATCAGACGCCCGCCCTTGCCCCGCAGTTTCCGGAAACTAGTACCTCGGAGGTACTAGTTTTTAACTCCAGACCTTCGGCGGGAAGCCTCAGGTTCGTCATGGGAGCTCTACGCTTCCCAGATATTGCGGTGTGATCGCGCCCGGAAAATCTGCCTATCATCCATCTCAGTAGCGTGGCTAATGCTCCGTGTGACCGCAGCCTAAGTCTGTTTTAACTTCTTTCACATGGTGAAGATCTCCGTGCTGCAGATGGTAGCTGCTGCTGAAGCAATATTTTTTAAAATCTACCCAGCCAATCCAATCTCCCGTAACCAACCCAGAAGCCTTGCCGGGCAAAAGACCCACCTGGCCCTTCCCGCTTTTTATAAATACTCAGGTGCCAGGAAAGGTATAAGCAGGCCCGTGGTGGCCACTGGCACCATGTTGGAGACCCCTGGGTTAGGCAATTGTGGTTGTCAGAATGGTGCTCTGTCGACAGGCTGCATGTCTTCAGTGCCGAAATCCCCCTTGCATTTCAGTGCTGAGGGCTGAACTTGCACAATGCATCCATCCCGCCCTTAGCAGGTTTTGAAGACTTTTCAATATGTCTGGAATGCCAGTTACCACAACCCAATATGGTAAAGCCAGTGTCCCGCTATGACCTCTAATACCCTTTCAGATAACGATGGGTTCAGTCTCTGACACCAGAGCGGGTGAGAGCCAGGGTGGTGTAGAGAGACCCGGGTTTGAATCCCCACCCTGCCACTGACTCTCACTGGATGGCCTTGGTTAAGTGTGCGGACTCTAATCTGGGAGAACCAGGTTTGATTCCCCGCTCCTCCACTTGCACCTGCTGGATGACCTTGGGCCAGCCGTAGTTCTGTCAGAGCTGTTCTCTCAAGGGCAGTTTCTCTCAGAGTTCTCTCAGCCTCCACCTAACTCTTGTGGGGAGGCAAAGGGGGAAAAGTTTGTAAGCCACTCTGAGACTCCGAGTGAAGGGTGTGGTAAAAATCCAATCTCCTCTCCTCCTCTTCCTCCTCCTCCTCTTTCAAGCTAACCTCCCCTGCAGGCTTGTTGTGAGGGTAAAATGGAGGAAGGGGGGAAGGGGGTTGTAAGCCACTTTGGACCCCCTTTGGGTAGAAAAGCAGGGTATAAATACCTAAATAAACAAAATGGCTTCCACTGATCAGCAAAAGCAGAGTGAATTGTGCAGAGCAGGGGGAATGATCAAGAGAATCACAGAACCACAGAGTTGCAGGGGGCCAGACAGGTCATCTAGTCCAACCCCCTGCTCAAGGCAGGATCAGCCGCGAGCCTCCCTGACCCACAATGCTCCAGGTGCGGCCTGACCAATGCAGTGTACAGTGGGACTGTGATTATACTTAATTGCCTCCCAGGGCATGGGTTGGAGGGCCCCGAGGCAGAAACGAAGGCAGTCTGGATCTGCGTGACCACCCAGGAGGAAGCCCTACCTGGTTGCCTTGAGCTTTGAAGGTGTCGGGCCGGTTACAGGATCCTGCTTTTTCTAGTGCGCCGTCTTTTAGCGTGGAGCGGGCCCAGCCCTGGATAACGCCCTAGTACTGTTTGGGCATTCATTTGGGCACAAGCCGGTGCCAAGAGGGGGAACCGGTTAGAGTTGTGCCCGTAGGTCCTGCCTACGTTGTCTGTTTTATTCCAGGATCCTGTTGGAATGGCGCCTGGATGCCCAGGTCTCTCAGTAAAGAAGCTTCTTCTTGAAGAAACTCTCCTTCTTGGGAGTCTTTTTAAGCAGAGGCTGGATGGCCATCTGGCAGCGACACTGATTCTGTGGATTTAGGCAGATTGTGAGAGGGAGGGAGGGCTCTTGTGGTCCTTTCTGACATGCCCAGGGACCGTGGAGGTTTTTCTGCCTGCCTTTGGGCGTAGAGCAGGGGTCACTGGAGGAGTAGAGGAAGGGGGATAGCTGTGAATGTCCTGCATTGTGCAGGGGGTTGGACTGGATGCCCCCTGAGGTCCCTTCCAGCTCTACAACCTGGGACCCTCCATTTTCTAGTCTGTACCAGCTCAGGCGTGCGAGAGCTTGTGTATGTTTGGGTCTGAAAGTGCAGGCTCTGTGCAAACGGGATCGTTGACTAGCTGGAGATTGGGTCTGAGGCCAGTCGACAGTGACCCCAGTCGACCCCCTCTGGGCGTTCCTTTGACTCCAAGCAGTGCCTGAAAGAGACTTCTCTGGACCGTGAAAAGTGGTAGGAAGGGTAGCTAAAGATTCTCTCGTGTCTTAGTTTTTTTGAGGACTTGGAAAAGAGACACCAGGAGCACCTCCTGATCCCGGATATCAGTGACATCGTGGAGGATCGGGCAAACTTCCACTTCCATCCCTACGTCATCTACTGTTCCAACGAGGTCTACCAGCAGAGGACCCTGCAGAAGCTGCTGTGAGTGCCTTCGGCCATGCCTCACCTGGACGATTCTTAACGAGGCTTTGTTTTTGCCAGGGGTGTGAGAAGGGAGCATCTGAGCATAGGCAAAGTGCAGCTGAGAGGGAGCCTTGGTGAGCGGGCAGACTACATTTTTAAGACCTGTTGGATCTTGCTCAGGGTATGTTAAATCTGAGACCCTGCTTCCCACCGTGGCCCTTCGGATGTCCCCAGCACCACCCCCTCCACCCCCAGCAATTGGTGCAGGGAAGCCGGCTGACTCTGAGCATGGAAGTTTCATTCAGCTCTCATGGCCACTATCCAGCGAGAGACGTCTCCTCCATGAGCGCTTCTGAATCTGGAACCCTCGTCTGGCGTTCATGGCCAACGGCAGAACTATTCCTCGTCAATCTGCCCAACCCCCCTTTTGCATCCCTCTAAGCTGGTGGTGGCCACCACCAGGGCTTAGCTTATTTTGCAGCTTATTTTGCACCCTAAGCGAGGATCCCTTCTGGCATGGGGGTCATGCGCCCACCAATTTTCAAAAATAAATGCATTTTAGGAAGAATGAAAAACACAAATAATCAAGAAACTCCCAGAGTACGGGGCCGGGTGCAGCTTGGCGCCCCTAAGGGCCAGCCCGCTCTAGGCGATTGCCTGGTTCGCCCAGTGAGTGAGCCGGCCCTGGCTGCCACCACATCTTGTAGTGGTGAGTTCCACGAGCCCAGCAATCCGTTGCCTCTCAGCCAAGCCAAAGTACAAGCTGCTAAAAAGGAGCCCAAGCGAGAACTTAACATGGTGTCCCCTCGGCCTGTTCCAGGACCACCAACCCTGCCTTTAAAGACACGCTGAAACAAATCGAGCGGAAGCCAGAGTGCGGCAGCCTGCCCTTGATCTCCTTCCTCATCCTCCCCATGCAGAGGGTGACCCGCTTGCCTCTCCTGATGGACGTGAGTAACAGCTGGGAGTGGGGGAAGAGAGTCCGAGGAGACCCTGGCTTTCCTGTTGGCCAGCCAGGCTCCCTCACTGATTGTCTTGCCCTTCCAAAACGCATGAGTGAGCAAGACCATGAGACCCTGATTGGCTGGCCTCCTGGCTATGTTCATATTTATTTATTTATATTTATAAATTCAATTTATAGCCCGCCCTCCCTGCAACGCGGGCTCAGGGCGGCTCACAGTCAGGCATAGGCCAACACATAAAACACATTAAAACCATTTAAAATCATTATTACAGTATAACAACATTATTATTAAGTGCTCTAGATGTTCCATATGATCTTCCATAAAGATGACGTCTGAACGCTGGTATACCCACTCCGTGCCGTCAGTTCTGCGTGACGCTGTCGTTCTCTCTTCCAGGGCCAGATAGTGATGGTACAGTCGTGGCGGCTCCTACTCAAACGCCTGGTGGAAGAGCTCCGTCTTGCAGGCCCCGCGGAACTGTGCAAGGTCCCGCAGGGCCCGGATCTCCTCCGGGAGCTCGTTCCACCAGGTGGGAGCCGCCACCGAAAAGGCTCTGGCCCTGGTAGCAGCCAGCCTGGCCTCCTTGGGGCCTGGCATCGTCAGGAGATGTTGTGTCTCCGACTGTAGTGCCCGCAGGGGAACATATGGGGAAAGGCGGTCTCTTAGGTATTCAGGCAGGCCGTGTACTCAACCAAAAGCACCTGCTTAAACAGTGATAATGATCTAGTTTATAAAATCTAGTAGGATGGTGGTTCTCCTTAGCTTAGGGTCGCCAGCCCTGAGTTAGGAAATACTTAGATATTTTGGGGGGTGGAGCCCAAGGAGGGTGGAGTTTGGGGAGAGGAGGGGCTTCAGTGGGGGACAATGCCATAAAGTCCACCTTTCAGAGCGGCCCTTTTCTCCAGGAGATCTCCAGCCACCACCTGGAGGCTGGCAACCCTACCTTAGCTTCATAGGCACAGTGTCAATAGAATGTGGCCCTGCCCTTGCGTTGATTTAAAGAATTTGTGTGCTTGGTTTAGCAGCGCAGGGTTCTGTACAGGCATTGAAGCCCCTCCAGCTTGGTGTCGTGGTTAGGAATGTGGACCCTAATCTGGGAGAACCGGGTTTGATTTCCCACTCTTCTACATGCAGCTGCTGGTGTGGCCTTGGGTCAGTCACAAGTTCTCTCAGAGCTGTTCTCTCAGGAGCAGTCCTTGAAAGCCAGTTTGGTGTAGTGGTTAAGTGTGTGGACTCTAGTCTGGGAGAACCGGGTTTGATTCCCCACTCCTCCACTTGCACCTGCTGATGTGACCTTGGGTCAGTCGCACACCTGTCCTTGAAAAAGAGCAGTCTGTGTCAGAGTTCTCTCAGCCCCACCCGCCTCACAGGGTGTCTGTTGTGGGGAGGGGAAGGGAAAGGAGTTTGTAAGCCCTCTGAGACTCCTTTGAGTAGTGAAGGGTGGGGTATAAATCCAACCTCTTCTTACTCCCCCTTTTGGCCTGTCTGGGTATAGCCTCATGGCCAGAAGAGCTTTTGCTTTTGCTTTTTTTTTCAACGCTCTGAGATTCCTTTGAGTAGTGAAGGGCGGGGTATAAATCCAATCTCTTCTTCTTCTTCGCTCCCAAACCCTTGGAAAAACTCACTCCCCCTTTTGGCCTGTTTGGGTGTAGCCTCATGGCCAGAAGAGCTTTCGTTTTTGCTTTTTCCCCCCAAAGAGTGCCCAGTTTTCACGGTAGAGTCACTGTGATCTCCTGAAGAACAGCAGTGAATCCAGTGACCTTTGATTCGGCTAGATGCATCCAATGTTGAGGTGCCCTTTCTCCCAATTGCAGACGGTCTGTCAGAAAACTCGGATGGGCAGCCCAGCTTACGACGCTGCCACGAGGGCGCTGAAGGCCATAAGCAAGGTGAGTGGGTTTACTCACATGCAAGGCTGCAGCAGTGGTGGCTTTCTTGGATCGTGTTCTCTCTCTGGTGGCTGAAAGGCAATGTAAATGGGTCCAACAAAGAGCTTCAAGCATGAATTAACTGGAGGGTCAGTGTGGTGCAGGGGTTGAGAGTGTCAGACTAGCAGGGGTCATTTTGTAGAAAAAGAGGTGCAGGAGCTCATTAGCGTAACTCATTAGCGTAACTTATTTGCATATGCCACACCCCCTGACCTCACCGGAAGTGTGTCAGAAGGCAACACCCACCGCTCAGGCTCCACTGGACTGTTTTGGATTGCTAGCTATTGGGTGGGGGGAAACATGCAGATCTGTCCTCGCAGAGGAGGGAGAGCTTGTACCTGAATAAAACTCGGTCTTAAAGGTGCCACTGGACTGTTTCGGGGCGGGTGGGAGCTCTGCAACTTACCTGGCTGCTTCTTGCTCTGACTGAAGGCTGCTGGGAGCAGGGAGCAGGGCTTGTTGCATGTGCCCGCCCCCTGGGCTCTTTACTGCCGGAGCTCCGCTCCTGTGCGCTCCTGCAGGAAATGACCCCTGCAGACTAGTATCTGGGAGACATGGGTGCGAATCCCCACTTCAAGGCCAGTCACACTCTCCCAGCCTGGCCTACTTCACAGGGTTGTTGTGAGGATAAAATGGAGCAGAGGAGAATGAGTTGTTTTGAGTCCCCACTGGGAATAAAAGGCAGGGTTGTCAATGCATGAATTGTCAATACATGAATTGCATGGGCGTGTTTCATAGCTACGTGTACTGCGATACCAGCAGTTTGTCAATCATTTTAATCGATTTCTAAAAAGAACAACAACCAAGAAGAAAGTCAATGAAACAAACATGCTAGGGTTGCCAGACCACCCAGGTCAGGGTGGGGTTTCCCCCAATTTGGGGGGCTGCAACTTGCCTCTGGCCAGCTGGCTGGTGGGGGAAGCCCCACCCTGAACAGCCCCCCTCCCGTGTCCATCTTGCCAGTGCAGTGTTGTCACCCAGAAGTGACGTCAGTGTGCTGGGCACTTTGCGCTTCAGCACTCTAGCATTCTGGCCCAAAACTCTATGGTTACCATAGAAGATCCAGGCATAGACCAATGAGCCCCTCTGCTGGAAGGCCGGCAAGACCTGGCAAACCTAAAACATGCTAACAGGACAATTATTAAAGGAGTAGGAAGAAGGAAGATGGATTTGCTCAGTATGAGTTTGGTGTAGTGGTTAAGTGTGCAGACTCTAATCTGGGAGAACCGGGCTTGATCCCCCACTCCTCCACATGCAGCTGCTGGATGACCTTGGGCAAGCCATAGTTCTGTCAGAGCAGTTCTCGAAAGAACAGTTCTTCAACCTTGAGCCCCTTGGTCCTGTTTCTTCATCTGCACTAAGGGAGAGCAGTTCTGGAAAGTGCTCTCTCTCAGCCTCACCTACCTCACAGGCAGTGTTCCCTCTAAGCTTAGAGTTAGCATGAGCTAGCTCACCGTTTTCTAGCCTCCAGCTCACACATTTTTGCCGTAGCTCAGGAAGGAGGGCTCCAGAGCGAACTAATTTATGCAGTAGTCAAATTACTCGCTCACAACTTTAATGCCAGTAGCTCAGAAAGTAGGATTTCTGCTCACAAGAGTTCACAGCTTAGAGGGAACATTGCTCACAGGGTGTCTGTGGTGGGGAGGGGGAAGGGAAAGGAGATGGTAAGTTGCTCTGAGACTCCGAGTGAAGGGCGGGGTATAAATCCAACCTCCTCTTCTTCTTCCCTTGATAATTCCTGCCGGGTAACTGTGTCAGTTTGCAGCAGCAACATAAAGCAGGAATCCAGTGGCACCCAAAAGACTATCCTCATCCATTCCACCGAAAGTACTCCTGAATCAGAGCTTGCTTTATCAGATGCATAAGGTGTATGTCCCCGAGGTCAGTGCTTTTCCATTCATAAGAGAGAGGATTCCTCACTGACTACAGATGCTAATATCATGCATAACATTCTGGGCGTTGAATGAATCAATTCAGCCGTATCTCTGGAACTTCCCCCTGCATCTGCTTATCTTGTTTTGTCGTGCACAAGATGTTATGTTAATCCTTCTGTGCTTATCTTTGGGACACACCCTCTCGGAGGGAACCCCCTGCCCTCCCAGTTGAATCTCGTTTTGAACTGGCCTCTCTTCGTAACCTGCCCCCCGCTGCCTTCCTGTTGTGAATAATGGATTTGCACTCCCATGCATTTGATGAAGCGAGCTCTGACTCATGAAGTCCTTAACACCTGAATAAATTCTGTCTGTCTCTAAAAAATGCCGCCGGACTCCTGTTTTATTTGATCTGTGCTGCAGATTACATATGAGTTGGCTGGACAGACTGGTTAAACCCTCGTTCATTAAGTACTAGGGATACCAGCATGGCAAGTTGACAGCCTTCTTAGCAGAGATTCCATACAGTTTCGCCATTATCCGAGGAACTTCTGTGCGTACCGGTTGTCTTGGTGTAGTGGCTAAGAGCAGCGGACTCTGATCTAGAGATCTGGGTTTGATTCCCCACTCCTCCTCCACCTGAAGGCAGCTGGGTGACCTTGGGTCAGTCCAGGGCTCATTTCCTGCAGGAGCACACAGGAGCGGAGCTCCGGCAGTGAAGAGCCCAGGGGGGTGGGCACATGCAACAAGCCCCACCCCCTGCTCCCAGCAGCCCTCAGTCAGAGCAAGAAGCAGCCAGGTAAGCTGCAGTGTTCCCCCCGGCCCCCCAGTCCAAAACAGTCCAGTGGCACCTTTAAGACCAAGTTTTATTCAGGTACAAGCTCTCCCTCCTCTGCGAGGACAGATCTGCACATTCTCCCCCCACCCCCCAATAGTTAGCAATCCAAAACAGTCCAGTGGAGCCTGAACAGTGGGTGTTGCCTTCTGACACACTTCCGGTGATGTCAGGGGGTGTGGCATATGCAAATGAGTTATGCTAATGAGCTCCTGCACCTCTTTTTTCTACGAAATGACCCCTGGGTCAGTCACAGCTCGCTCAGAGCTCTCTCAGCCCCACCGACCTCAAAGGGTGTCTGTTGTGGGGACAGGAAGGGACGGCGATTGTAAGCCGCTCCTTCGGGTAGTGAAGAGCGGGGTATAAAACCAGCTCTTCTTCCTCTTCTTGTAGATGGATCCTGCACCTAAAAGACCCATAGCTCAGCCCTGTGTATTCTGGAGGCCTACAAACCCTTCGAGTCTTTCAAACCATCCTTTTAGCCATTAAAGCTGCCCTCTAATACAGTCTACTGATGTGACACAGATGGGCTGGGCTGTAGCTCACTGGAAGAGCCTCTGC